ATATATAAATATATATATATATATATATATATATATATATATATATATATATATATATATATATATATATATATATATGTATATAATTATGACTTAAAAAGTAAATGATCTGTTACACCTAAATAAGTCACCGTGTAATCCACGATGTTTAACTTGCATGCAATATTGACTGGCAATATTGACGAATAACAGCAATTGAATAACCGTTACCATTTTCTCGCGATTATTGTTTTAATTAGTGGGTTGGTTTGACGAGGTCAGTTGTTCTGGGTCCACACTTTTTTGAAAGAAATCTGGACAGGAGAGAGCTCCTCCGCATCATGCGTCACAACGTTATACAGAGGGATTATCGTGTTTACAATGTCGATATGGATGACATGTGGTGGCAGCAAAATGAAGCTCCTTCTCATACCAGCAATGCAACAATGCAGTACCTTCGGAAACAATTCCCTGGCTGAGTTATGAGTAAAGGTGACGACAGGCCTTAGCCACATCGCTCCCCTGATCTAACAGTATGCGATTTTTTTCTTTGGGGCTATTTGTCACATAAAACCTGGAATGTGTCACATGATCAGCAACCACACAATTTGAGTATTTCCCGTACTGCCCGAACGGTTGAGGTCAGTAAGTTTTTTATTATATTACATTGTATACGTTTGTAAAAAATGGAAGAAAAGGTCACACGAGGGCAAAGTATAAAGTCCGAAACTGTTTGCAAAAAAAAAACAATTGTAAAAAATGTTCTTTGGTTAGTAAAACTATCTATGGTAAAACTGCTCTATAGTACTTTTTATATAGAATACTAACACAGTTTGGACAATATTTCAAGAAAACTACGAGGTATTTCGTCATTTAATTAAAGACAACTAATATGAAAACAATAAAATTCATATTTATGTATCTTTTTATCTAACAAAAACAGAAATTTTCAGGGAAAAATTATAAATCTGTGGCTGTTTTAGTTGTATTTTTTATTTAGGATGATGTCAAATTCCTCCTGGATATCTGCAAACAAAATTTGCAGCTCTTCGCATTGTCAAAACACAACTATTCCTGACTGCTTTGTGCTCAGTGACATTGTGCTCAGTCAATTCAACACGTACTTAACAGGGGCGGATTCAGACCGTTGCAACCGTAGCATATGCTACGGTCAGATTTTCCCTGAGATATATTTTTCCAGGTTGTACCTTTTTTAAAGTTATTAAAAACTAAAACGTTATACTATTTTTAATTGCCGTTATTTTCAATTTTTCATTGAAACTTGGTGCAATTTTTTTAAAATTTACTAAATCATATTGATACAATTTTATCGAGTTTTATTTCATTTTGGATAATTAAATTCGGGTTTTTCTCAAATTTCCGCCCGAAATACTGCCTGTATTTGCGGGTTTTGCACTAGTACTATATCACATCGTTCTGAAGTCGTAGCATTTGCTTCATTGTGATTGGCTTGCTTCGTCTAACCGTAGCAAACCAATCATAGCGCTGTATTTTGAAATTTTTGCAGTGGTCAGATTGAAACTGACCGTTGCAAAAATTCGCAAATACGGCGTGCTGATTGGTTTGCTACGGTCAGACGAAGCAAGCCAATCACAATGAGGCAAAATGCTACTGTTTGCAATAGTCGCATCGACTTCAGAGCGATGCTGGCTTGCTATTGTCGTGTCGGCTCCTCGTTGTAATCGAATAGTCGGTAAATTTTAATCGCCGCTCGTTCCAAGGAGAAAGACATGGCTTCTACAGGACTCCACGATCTTCTGTGTGTAATGAACGAATGTAAACGTGTTTCATTTAACGAAAAGATGCGCGAAAGAATTCTGATCGAAAGCTTTTGGTGTGCGATTATTGGCATAATTTGCATTTCCCGCGATGTGAACTGTGAAGACAGCGCTGTTTGAATCACCTCCGTGTCAGGTCAGTCTCATGAATAGTATATTAAATATGTAAATAACATATCGAATTTTACACAGTTCATGCGCCTCGAATATATTACCATATATTTGCTGATGAAACGTATTATTATAAAAATGCAGAACAATATCAATGGCCACTCACACTATTTGATAGCCATTGGCATGCCATGTGTGTTTATAATTTTATATGAAGAAATATGTTAGTTGATCTCCTATATATTTTATATCTTAGACTTTGCACATGTAATTATTAGTTGTAGACCTGTTGTAGTCTATAAAGACTAGTGAGTAGTGTAAGCGAAATTTATAGAAATAGTTACACTCCGATATTTATATTGTAGTTTACACGTATACTAACAGAGTTTAGAATTACAACAGCTGAGCCTGCTTCCTGGGATAACGTATCATAAATATATGGTTAGATGTTTCAAATCCATGTATTGTATACCTTACTTGTATTAAAATTCGCGTCGTATATACTCATTTTCGTTCAGCTTTAAATTCGCGTACTCCAATTTCGCGAAACTTGTCTGCGCAGCTTTAAATTCGCGCAAGTAATTTTCTGTGTTGGTTCCTTTTGGTTTGTTTTAGAACTATAACAACAAATACTTCAATATTTGTCTAAACAAAATTCATGATAACAGTAAAACGTATAAAGTTCAAACTTCAAAATGTATGGTTTTCATTTGCCTAATACAATAACAATAACAATAACTAATTTTTATTAGCATCCCATATATTATAGGTTCGTATATGGTATTGCCTTACATTATATTATTTACTAACAACGAGTGAATATTACACCGCAAAGCTTTTCGCGCGGATTATATTTCCGGCAGTACTAAAATTTGCGCACCCAGCTCCGCGCGAATTCCTGCAGAACTGCTCGAATTTTAGTACAAAAAACATATACAAATAAACATTTTTCCTAATTGCCGTTGCGCTGCTGTTTCAAGAAGATCTACAAATAAACATTTTTCCCATAACTTGGACTGAGATAATCTACATACAGTACAGAAAATATTTTTCCTGACTGCCATAAGTTGTCCTGCTGTTTCAGGATGATCTATATATGCTGCTGCTTAGCCAGATAAACATTTTCCCTAACTAGCTGTCGTTGGGCCGCTGTTTCAAGATGATGTACATTTGAAAACTTTCGAACTACTGTTATCTTACTTTTTCAAGATAATCTGTTGTTCGAAGTGACATGTTGATGAATAAATTTTGTAACTTTGTGCGTTTTTTTCTTATTTTGGTGTGAAAAACAGGCACTTTTCTACAAATTTTAAATCTAATTTCGATGCTCAGAATGCAGCAAATGGTACTTGCGGGCTTCAAATTTCAAAAATTTTCTGGGGGGGCATGCCCCCAAACCTCCCTAAGTAGGGCGTGGCCTTCGGCCCCGCATGTTGATTTCATCCAAAATGCTACGGTCAGATTGAGACGCTGAATCCGCCCCTGCTTAACGAGAAACAATCGTTTGTCCTCCCACCAAAGTGGCAACAAGAAACACTTATCCACAGAAACACTGTCTATTTTCGTGAATGACACTATTTTGAAAGCGAAGGATTATAAGAAGTTAACTGCACTTGTGCTTTTAGATTTGTCTAAAGCATTTGACAGTGTCAATCACAATATCCTACTTCAAAAATTGGAACGCATCGAAGCGTCTAAACCATCATTGAGACGGTTTGGTAGCTACCTAAATGGACGATCACAAGTAGTACGGTTCAACTTCATCTTCTCCCCTTAACCTCACCCACGGCGTACCACAAGGAGCGCTACTTTCACCCTTACTCTTCTGCATATACATGAATGATCTCCCACTATCACCACGCAGTAGCTCCCTTAAATCATACGTTGATGACTCCAAGGTTTTTCTATCCTTTCCGATTAAAGACACTACTTCCACCAAAGCAAATCTGGAAGAAGACCTTTGTCTTGTAGCTAAATGGTGTTCGACTAATTATTTATTGATCAACCCAGAGAAAACCAAGCTTCTTCTTATTGGCACACCACAGTTGTTAAAAAAACTACCTTCGTCAATAAATCTCTCATTCCTAGGTAGAGATATTATTGCTGTGTTCAGTGCAAAAGATCTGGGAGTTACCCCAGATTCGCATTTATCGTACAACGAACATATCAAAAATCTTGTCTCATCGTGTACTGCAAAACTTTGTCAAATTAACAGAGTGAAAGACAGTTTTGACAAAGAAACGCTCAAACTCATCATTTCATCACTTGTTATCAGTAAATTATTCTACTGTTCTTCTACATGGTCCAATACATCTTCCACAAACATTAGCAAGCTCCAAGCAGTACAGAACTTTGCATGCAGGATTATTACAAACACTAGAAAGTTTGACCACATCACTCTTGCGCTACGTCAGATTAGTTGGCTACCTGTCAAAGAACAACTTATTCTCAGAGACTCAATAGGGCAATTTATACGGGACAAAATAAGACGCGACTTACATAAGACCCGAGTTAAATAAGACGCGAGTTTGTCGTATAAAAGGTACAAAATTCTTATGTAAGGCGCGTCTTGGATAAGACGCGTCTTACATAAGAACACGACTTTTAGCTGTTCTTATTTAAGTCGCGTCTTAAATAAGAAATTTTGGACAAAAAATCCGAAACTTGAAACAACGTAAAATTATTAGCCTTGCATATTAAAACAAAAACAACCGAAACAACATTATAGCTATAGAAAGTACAAATAAGAATAAATCCGTAGAGAACCATCTATGCGATAACTCCTCTTATATAAGACGCGTCTTACGTAAAACGCGACTTATTTTGTCCCGTATAAATGGCCCTAATTATGACGTACAAATGCATGAACTCGCTTGTCTCACAATATTTAAGCGGAAAATTTTCGAAACGATCTTGGATACACAGCAGACTCACGAGAAACCAAGATACGCTGCAAATCCCGTTGAACCGAACCGCCACTGGACAACGTTCCTTTCACTACAGGGCTGTTAATCTTTGGAATGGCCTGGATGAAAATATCAAAGAAGCAAGATCTCTCCGCCATTTCAAGAAGTTAATGAACAACAATCTGTTAGACCACTATTTTAACAATTAATGTAATATCAACTGTAAATACTTAATATAACTATAATTATAATATTAACTATAACATGTAATGGGCATTGAAAAGCCCAGTTGGGAATTGCTCAATAAAGTATGTATGTATGTATTGTAAAATTTACCTTGTAATTTTGACTTTCGCTAATAAAAACGTATGGAGAAAGTTCTTTAACCACAGCAGTTGCTCCTCTTTTTATTTAGGTTTATTTTTCTTCGTTTTGAGTAGTTTTGAAAGACTTTTAGACACTTTTTGCTGTTTCAAACTCGGCTCTCTTCGCAGGGCAATAAAAATTGCGTATTGCCCGTGGGCAATACGGGAAAATCCTGCCTCGTCAGCAGCCTATCAAAATGCGCGATTCATCAAAACAAATGCTTGCCATATAATAAACATTAATATTTGGCAAGCCATTTTTTACTAATTTCGTCAGTTCCAAAAATGTTTACTCCTGTTTAAATGCATGTATTTTTGTCAATATTGGATCGACATGTGCATGGTGTATATCAAAATGGTGGATATCGCTGAATGCCAGTAAACTTGTTTTAATGTCATTGCTCTTTTAGTTTTGCTTTTGCAGCAATTCAAACAGTACGGTCGTACTTTTCTTGCCCCACCCTATATATATATATATATATATATATATATATATATATATATATATATATATATATATATATATATATATATATATATATATATATATATATATCTAAGCGCGCAAAGCATAATGGGAGTACTGATTTCAAGCTTTGTAGTTGAATATTGCAGCTGTTTGTGAGTGAAATGTTTTCCCCGGCACATATTTACCATGTCTCTAAGAAATGGGCTCCATGTATGCTTTCTAAACTGCTTAAATAGTGCTCCCATTACGCTTTGCGCGCTGAGAATTTAAGGTTTAAGGTTTTAGAGTTTAAGGTTTGCAAAGGACAACCTTTATTGAATTAGCTGTATATATATACATATATATATATATATATATATATATATATATATATATATATATATATATATATATATATATATATATATATATATATATATATATATATACATAGCTTAAGATTTTGGTTTACGAAACACAAACACTGCTCAATACCATAAAGATATAGAGCGTAATATAGTTTTTCGTTTTACCTCAAAAAACCACAACAGTCTGTTTCATCCGTATAGGAATCATCAGGAGGTGAATAATTTCGAAATTGTAGGTTGCTTTTATGCTATCGAAAGAATGTGCGGAATGCGTGTAGGCGAAACAATGCTTATGTGAAACAATGCATGCTTGGGTCATTAGGTTTTGTTAACGACCTTGTTTACTCGAAACCGGTTTTTGTGACGACATTTGCCGAAAATTTCGCTTCTTTTATTGGGTAAATTGTCTTTGTTTATGTCTTTCAAAATGCAAAATTTTTCTTCCAAACATAAATTGCAGCGTTTTGATCCCGCTGTGTACGAAATAGCGTGTTTTAAAATTGACCATTTGATGGTATAATCCTGATTGTTTTCTTTTAATTTCCAAATATGTTTCGAAAGTTCCGTTTTGTTTGAGTCTTTTTTATGACGGAAAGATGAAGTGTGGTTAGCGTAACGTTCCTTAAATGTAGTCGCTGTCATACCAATGTAGTGTTTAGTGTCGTTCGTGTTGTTCGTTGTGACTGTTGCTTTGTAAATAATGTTGTTGGTCATGCATTGTTTCGGTAGTGGGCAAGTGTTTTTGTTGTCGCAGTTACAGTTGTCAGTTTCCGTATTCTGTGATTGACTGTTCCTAATTATATGTGCGTTATGTTTGGTGATTATAGACTTAACGTTGTTCATGCAACTGTAGCTTACTTTTAAAGTGTTTCTGTTAAAAATCTTGTGTAGTTTGTGCTGTAGCGGGAAGTGTTTGTCAATTAAACTTAAGAATTCCTGTCCTATGTTCGTGTTAACACTCTTGCTAAATGGTGGGTTGAACCAAATTATGTTGCGTTGCCTATTCCTACGTGTCCGTTGCGGTGCATTCTCAGTGTACGTAAATTCATGATCAAAGTTACTATGTGTAAGAGCGTTCTGGTAAATAGGTGTGGATTCCTTAAATGTTTGTTCGTCCGATGAGAGAAGTGCAATGCGTTTGTTGATAGCTGTAGGTAATTGTCTTGTAATGCTTGGTGGATGGTTTGAGTGTCTGTGGATGTACAATGGATCGTCATTGGGTTTCCTGTATGGTTTGTGTTTTGCGTTGATCAGGTCGAAAGTAACATCTAAAAAATTTACAACGTTCATATTTACTTCGGCGGTGATTTTAAGGTCAAATTGCTCGAAAATTTTGTGTAGCTCTTTTCTAGTTTTGTCTAGTAAACGGGCGGTTTTGCTTTTTATAATAGCCAAACCATCATCTCTATAAAGTCCGATGTTTTCCTTGCCAAACCTCTTACCTAAGTGATTTAAAATGAAAAGGCCTACAAGCTCACAAATTTCAGCGCCGTCGAAACTACCCATAGTGACGTCAAATAAACTGTTGCTTCCGTCTTTTTTTGTCCATAATTTGCCGTTGCCGAAAAGTAGAGATTTTCTTGCATGTTTTATTATTGAAATATCGTTTTCGGTAATAGTAGTCAAATCCGAAGCCCAGGCCAATGCTTCATTTAAAAGTTTTTCGGAAATAGATGGGTAGAAATCCACAATATCAAATGAAATAAAACTGTACCTGTCTTTATCGTTTATATTGCCAAACCATGAAATTACTTGTTGCGTATTTCTCCATTGATTTGAATTTAGTTTTTGTCTCAAATTGGAATTAATTTTATCTAAAATAACCTTACTTAGTTTTCCGGATTCGCTTTTTGCGGGATTAATTAGTCGGCATTTTTGATTGTTTTCGAAATTTTCTTTGTGATCTTTTAAAGATATAAATGCTTCGCGTTTTTTCATTCGTTCAATTCTGTCGCCAATTCCTAACCTACTCGAAATTTCTTTCAATTCGGAGTCAATTTCATGTATGAAGTCCTCTGATCCATGTTTGTACGTTTTCGTGATGTTATCATGTAAGAGTTCGTTGTATGTGTTCAGTGACGTTTCGTAAATGTTTCTAGTTTTGTCCACGAAAATGAAAATGTTGGGGGATGAATTAATTTTCTTCAAATCGTTAGCCAAAGATGTCTGAAATTGGTCTTTAGGACGCCGGAATTTTACGTTTTCAATTAGTTTTATCAAGTCGTCTTCGAAAAGTTTCAAAAGTGGAATTGAGGGAGGCGATATATATATATATATATATATATATATATATATATATATATATATATATATATATATATATATATATATATATATATATATATATATATAAAACATGCGACAATTTCGATTCGATTATTCACTAAAGAATATTCCTATACCATCACAGGATGCTTACCTAAAGAATTTGATTGAAAAAGTGGAGAGCGTAACAAAACGTATGAGATGGAAAGCTAATTTCTTCCTAAAAGGATCAACGACTCAAAACCAAAGCAACCTTTTCGGCCTTTCGTCTAACAAATCGCCTCCTTCAATTCCACTTTTGAAACCTTTCGAAGACGACTTGATAAAACTAATTGAAAACGTAAAATTCCGGCGTCCTAAAGATTAATTTCAGACATCTTTGGCTAACGATTTGAAGAAAATTAATTCATCCCCCAACATTTTCATTTTCGCGGACAAAACTAGAAACATTTACGAAACGTCACTGAACACATACAACGAACTCTTACATGATAACATCACGAAAACGTACAAACATGGATCAGAGGACTTCATACATGAAATTGACTCCGAATTGAAAGAAATTTCGAGTAGGTTAGGAATTGGCGACAGATTTTGAACGAATGAAAAACGCGAAGCATTTATATCTTTAAAAGATCACAAAGAAAATTTCGAAAACAATCCAAAATGCCGACTAATTAATCCCGCAAAAAGGGAATCCGGAAAACTAAGTAAGGTTATTTTAGATAAAATTAATTCCAATTTGAGACAAAAACTAAATTCAAATCAATGGAGAAATACGCAACAAGTAATTTCATGGTTTGGCAATATAAACGATAAAGACAGGCACAGTTTTATTTCATTTGATATTGTGGATTTTTACCCATCTATTTCCGAAAAACTTTTAAATGAAGCATTGGCCTGGGCTTCGGATTTGACTACT